TCATATCATGCATGCCACACTAAATTTAGTCATCTCAACATGCAACTATACCAACTCACAATGCCAGTATGCATGGAAGAAAAAAACATCTTAACATGTACCATGCATGCTACTAAATTCAATAAATATTTTAAAATTATATAATAATCAAATATAATAAATTATATGCACTTTTGTTTCAATTCTCGTATGGCTAATCCAAATACTAAAGTTTCATACTGTCAAGTGAAATAATATCATCAATTTCCGCATCAACGCGCGGGTATCATCTCTAGTTCACTTATGACCATGTACCATGCAACTATGCCAACTCACAATGTCAGTATGCATGGAAGAAAAAAAACATCTTAACATGTACCATGCATGCTACTAAATTCAATAAATATTTTAAAATTATATAATAATCAAATATAATAAATTATATGCACTTTTGTTTCAATTCTCGTATGGCTAATCCAAATACTAAAGTTTCATACTGTCAAGTGAAATAATATCATCAATTTCGGGATCAACGCGCGGGTATCATCTCTAGTTCACTTATGACCATGGGTACTCCAGCAAGCAATGCGAGGATCTCATAACATTATACTAAATTATTTTAACATGCAACTATGCCAACTCATCATGTTATCATGTTTTTCACACTAAATTTAGTCATCTCAATATGCAACTATGCCAACTCACAATGCCAGTATGAATGAAAAAAAACACCTTAACATGTACCATGCATGCTACTAAATTCAATAAATATTTCATAACTATATAATAATCAAATATAATAAATTATATGCACTTTAGTTCAGTTCTCATATGATTCATCCAAATACTGAAGTTTCATACTGTCAAGTCCTAGTGAAATAATATCATCAATTTCCCTAGCAGCGCGCGGGTATCATCTCTAGTTTCACTCATGATCATGGGTACTCCAACAAGCAATGCAAGGATCCCATAACATCATAAAACAAAGAGAGTGCAACACATACGTGCAAACATACACACACATGAGTTACGGTACACTCACGGGCAATTTTTTACGAAGGTTAGGTATTGGATGAGTCAAAGGAATATGATTGGTTAGGGGATAAGCCCCACCAGTGAATTCAAGGGGGGAGGGGCCAGAGAATTATTGCAAAGGGATTCCTTTCTACACTGTAACACTCCTGCACAAATTCATCTTGGGCGTGTTTGGTTGCTAGCATAACAACCATGCATGCTAGGGGGAGGTGGGAAAGTCTAGCCGTTTGGTTGTCTGAGCCACAAAGAGAAATCTGGCTGCATGCTCCTCAAAGCAACCCTCGATCCGCCAAGGATGTGATACTCCAACACTAAGCTCCAGTGAAATAATATTAGCAATTCCCACAACAACGCGCGGGTATCATCTCTAGTTTCACTAATGACCATGAGTACTCCAATAAGCAACACAAGGATCCCATAACATCATAAAACAAAGAGAGTGCAACACATACGTGCAAACATACACACACATGAGTTACGGTACACTCACGGGCAATTTTTTACGAAGGTTAGGTATTGGATGAGTCAAAGGAATATGATTGGTTAGGGGATAAGCCCCACCAGTGAATTCAAGGGGGGAGGGGCCAGAGAATTATTGCAAAGGGATTCCTTTCTACACTGTAACACTCCTGCACAAATTCATCTTGGGCGTGTTTGGTTGCTAGCATAACAACCATGCATGCTAGGGGGAGGTGGGAAAGTCTAGCCGTTTGGTTGTCTGAGCCACAAAGAGAAATCTGGCTGCATGCTCCTCAAAGCAACCCTCGATCCGCCCGAGAAGAACGCTCAAATCGGTGTTTTCCAGTGATGCAGGCACGAATCAGTGCAAACATGCTCTATTAGCTCCATGCCAGCGAGCAACCAAACAAACTGCCCCTACGGGCTCAACCGGCAGGTTCCAGAAAGCCCCAAAATGGTGCAAATAACCAAACAGTATGTACATCGCCTACCTCTAGGTCTTTTTTTTTTTGAGAAAATCTCCGATCTATTCAAGGTAGTACAGAGGGCACTAGAAGATTAAAAAAAATACATCCAGATCCATAAACCACCTAATGACGACTGCAATCACTGGAGCGAGCCAAAGACGCGCCGTTGTCATCACCCCTTCCTCACTGGAGCCGGGCAAACCTTGTTGTAGTAGACATTTGGGAAGTCGTCGAGCTAAAGCCATATAGGACCACCGCCGCCGCCTCACCTTCATGAGCAGGACAAAAACCCTAAACATGCACAAAAAGAGATCTAAAACCGGAATTGGAGCCCTCCCGCCGGCAATGACCGAGATCCACCACGCCTCCATGGCCTAAGGCCACAGCAGACGGAGTATGCGGCGGCGGCGGCAGGAGGCGAGCAACCCTAGCCGCTTGAGTCGCTAGAGCACAAGCGCCAACGGGTACGCGTGCCCATTGCCTACCTCTAGGTTTAACCTCTAGTCAACAACATATACACCCATTCCAGTACTAAAGTAACAATCCAAGCAATGCTTTGTGCAGCTTATGCAAGATTTTGTGAAGGTGCTATTCAAACTTTGCCTTTAAAGCAAATGTGGTTGGGCGTGCATTAGCTAGATATATGCAAGACAAAAGCCAAAGATGTGGATGTTCTATTGTATCCCTATTTGCAAGCTAAAATCTACGTTGTCGTACAAAAAATGCAGTTATCCATCCTTTTGCCAATCAGAGTACAAAAAAGGTGCAACCACACCATCCACGCAGATGCGCTCTCCTAACACACCCCTGCAACTTGGAGATAAACGCATGGATAATGGATTTCACAGAGTCTGATTCAAACAAATTTACACAATGCATGCATTTATACCCTGCTAGTACATACTCCCTCCGTTCCTAAATACTTGTCTTTCTAGACATTTCAACAAGTGACTACATACGGAGCAAAATGAGTGAATCTACACTCTAAAATATGTCTACATACATCCGTATGTAGTAGTCATTTGAAATATCTAGAAAGACAAATATTTAGGAACGGAGGGAGTAGAATCGAGCCCACAACTCTACTACCCAGCAAAGATGGTGCTAACAACTTACTGTCAGTAGAGTCCATACTCTCGGTGTCCCGAAGGCTTATCACCTCTTGCTGTTTTCAGATTTCAAAGGAAATTCTGAAATACTTCATTCACTGTCTTCAGCATGGCTAGCAGGTACAAGAGTACCGACTGCAGCAGAGCCGGTACTCCACAGAGGGTCAAAGCAGGGCCTTGCGATGTACAGCGGCATTACAAATCTACTAGACAAATGGCATGGATTTCGACAGCAAGGAGCGCCCTCTTCATCTCACTCAAAGCCCTCCGTCGGAGGCCTTTGAGGGAGAAGGAGAGGAAAGTCCTTGAAGAGCCCCCTCCACTTCCTCTACATGCCATGCTTCTTGTGTTGAAAGGAGACCATGCAAATGCCTGGGTTTAAATAGGCCACAGAGGATGCAAAATAGGTATCACCAAACCAGCTGGGTCATCTCTTGCAATCACTGTCAGAGGTGGTTATATTCTTTCTCATCTTCTTTTCCCAGTTGCAACAACCTGGAGTCTTTTACTTTGGGAGTCTGGACTTTTGGGCAACACCAAGGGATGCTACGTGGCGCCAGCGATCTGAAATGTGATACTGAATATATGCTTCACCATTTCTTTACAGCACCCTGTAAGACATGACTTCTGTTAAACTACAGCAAATAATATGGCGAGTGCAAGTACATGGTTTTCGTTACTGTTTTATAAAATGTTTTGGCATAAGAAAGAAATGAATACACAAATTAAGTCAGATTTGTTTTATGTGGAGAAAGCAAAACACACCGCCATGTGTTCATTGATAGCACCAAAGAGAGGAAAACACAAAAAACCCACTAGCTAGTATCTTTGAAAGTAAGTAGGGAAGATTTGGATAAGAGTATTAGACATCAAAGTTCCATATCTGTTGATGCTTTCGGAGATTCTGCCAAAGCTTCAGTCCGGTAGCTCTCATACAGTTGACCGTGGTAATGAGCAAGAACCTAGAGCAAACGTGCATACAGCAGAAAAGGAAAGCCTCATACCGCGCGTGCGCGGAAAAGGTCATGCACCAGCTCTTATTTGACATTCCTTTGTATACACTCCGTGTATCCAGCAATAAAATGTACACACAAATCAAGTCAAATTTACTTTATATGGTGAATGCGAAACACACTGCCATGTGCTCGTTGGTAGCACTAAAGAGAGGAACACACAGAAATCCACTAGCCAGTATCCTTGAAAGTAAAACCAGAAGATTTGGATAAGATCACTAGAGATCAAAGTTCCAAATCTGTTACCGCTTTCAGAGATTATGCCAAAGCATCACACTGGTAGCTCTCACACAGCTGGCTGTGGTAATGAGCAAGGACCAAGAGCAAACATGCATACAACAGAGAAGGAAAGCCTCATATCGCACAGAAAAAGGTCATGCACTAGCTCTTATTTGACATTCCTTTTTACACTTGCACTACACATGTCCAGCAATAACCACCACATGGCTTCTAAGAATATATGATATGATGCCATGAGAATATGTGCTCATAAGACCTTTTGTAGTTCTACTTCCGAATTTGAAAGCTCAACCCTTACGGTGTAGCAATTCTATGAACAGTTACATTTTGGGCTTTGGACTACCAAATGTGCTTAAGTCTATATCTGAAGACCGCGTGATTCCTTGTGACTGGCTAGACTGCAGACAAGTCGATCTTGGAATTGTCGGCAGCTCATAAAATGTTGTAAAATTTAAATTTGGCAGCCACCCGCTTTATATTTGGATCGCCAAAAAAGGAATTTGGGTAGCATATCTATTCTTTGTTAACACACCATGGGCTACAGCACCAACATGGTGATGCCTCCATTATGAGGTGCGGAGCTCCACTCTTCAGTCCAGAATTTTAAAATTCCCCATATGCAGATTTGCGGACTTTGATGAAAGAAACAACCAACCTTGAGAACAATACACTCTTGAGAAATGAGTATCTTCAATAATTCATTCATCTTCTATGATTGGCTTGTAACCATGATCCTTGAGCTCCCAATTCAGTATCTCCAAGACCGCCTCTAGAACACTGTCAAGCTCACCGGTGATAAACTCTCTAAGACTGCCTTCAGCATCAACTTGGCTCCACCCAGGCGGCTTCTTCATTCCTTGTCTCCTCAGGAGGGCTCGAACCTTTTGGACTCCATCCCACTTCTTTGCATTTGCGTATATATTTGAAAGCAGGACATAATTCCCCACGTTATTTGGTTCCAACTTGAATAGGTGACTTGCTGCCACCTCCCCAATCTCGACATTTGAGTAAGTCCTACAGGCACTTAACAGAGCGCCCCAAATTCCAGCATGTGGTTCAATGTCCTTTGGCATCTCATGTGTGATCATTTGGTAAGCTTCATCAATGCATCCCGCACGACCAAGCAAGTCCACCACGCACAGGTAATGTTCTACAGTAGGAATAATGTTGTAGTCATCCTTCATCGTCTTGAAGTATCGGCGTCCCTCATCAATCAGACCTGTATGACTGCAAGCATTGAGGACTGACACAAAACAGATTTCATCGGGATCGAAGCCATTGTCACACAACTCGTTAAAAACCGCAATTGCATCTTTTCCACGGCCATGCATGCCCAACGCAGAGATCATAGAACTATAACAGATAAGATCTCTTTGCCTCCAGCTGCAGAACAAGTCAAGTGCCCTTTCTATATTACCACACTTTGAGTGCATATCAATGAGGGCAGCTACAGTATGGCTATTCAACAACATCATATGACGATCCACATAATCCTGTATCCAACTAGCCTGAGTCGGTAACCCACACTGCGCGCATGCAGCTGCAATAATAGAGATTGTAGTGTGGTTTGGCTCCACCTTTGGCCTTGCTCTAGTCTCCAGCATAATCTTGAAGAGATCCACAGCCTCTGCAGCCCGACCAGCACCTGAATACACGCCAATCATCACATTCCAGGTTGCAGCATCCCGCACTCTCATTCCATCAAAGACGGCCCTAGCATCATCAGCATTGCCCGTTTTTGCATAGCCAGATATCATGGCTGTACACACGACCGAGTTTTCTGCTCCCTTTGCCACTGCTATTTCAAAGAGACGCTTTGCAGAGTCCATATCACCACGTGCGGAGTACCCACAAACCATTTCCACAAGAGTGTATGCATTACTCTCCGGCATCGTCTCAAAGAGCTCCTCTGCACGCTCCACCTCACCTACCTCCATATGTGCAGCAATCATAGTGTTATACAGCTGAGCATCCTTAACGGACAATCTGTCGAACACCCTGCGGGCGTCATCCAGCCTGCTGCACTTCGCATAGAAATCAACCAACGTCGTCGCAATGCGTTCGTCGGTTTGGAATCCATTCTTGAACACGTGCACGTGAACTTGCTCGCCTTCCTGCAGCATCTTGCGGCGAGCCGCCGCCTTCAGCACTGAGGAAACGGTGAAGGTGAGCGGCTTGATCCCCGGGCAACCGTGATGCATCTGGGCGTAGAGCGCCACGGCATCGCGCGCGGAGGCGTCCGACTGGGAGTGCGCTCGCACTAGCGCTGTCCATACGAAGGCGTTGGCGGCGGGGCCGAGCGCCGTGGCCACCGCGCGCGCGCGGCCGAGGTGGCCGAGGTCGGCGAAGGCGCGGACGAGCTTGGCGGCGACGAAGCTGTTTCGGGCGTGGCCGAGGAGCACGGCGCGGGCGTGGAGCTGATCGAGCTGGCGCCCGGACGCGCACCGAGCCGCCAGGCGAACGAGGAGGTTCTCCTCCTCGACGCGGGCGCTCGGGCGGGGAGGCGGCATTGGCTTCGCTCAGGATTTCTGTCGAGCATTTGGGGTTCAGGGTTTGTAAGTGTGTTTGGTTGCCGAACAAATGCTCTTTTGGGTAATCGTACCGCTTTATGAAGGTGACGACCGAATAATTAAGCTACAGTAATACTCTACTATTAATGTCATGTTATCATGATTACTTTTGTTAAATTTATGATGATTCAAAACCTGTTTAAACTCTAATTAAAAATCGAATCAAACAATAAAAATTTTCAAATATTAAAATTAGAAATGTTCGGACTTTAGTATAAATTTCCCTGATCGATTGAACCATCTTCTTTTGAAACTCCAAAATTGCCCTTGTTTATTTTTGATTTGGGCAAACAACAAATAGTGGCCCATTTAAATTCAAACTAAAATTAAAGTCTTTCAAAATTAACCTAAAACCCTGTGGATAGTCCCGATGTATTACAAAGAGCTTATGAGAAAAGTTTCTTGTGTACAAAAACTTATTTGGATAGAAAACAAAATAGAAAATAGAAATTAAAAGAAACAAAAAAGAAATAAAAAAAGTAAAAACAAAACAAAAATAAAAAGTAAACCGAAATCCTCCCCCTCCCAACTGGGCAGTGGCCCAGCTGGCTACTCCAGCCGGCCCACTCATTACCCACTGCCCTATATGGCCTAACTCCCACACCTAAACCCTAACTACCACCATGATCCACCCCATCTCTCTCTCGTCTCCCTCCCCGTCCCCGAGTGGATCTGGATCGGGGGCAACGGATGCCCTCGACCCACGCAGCCATCGCGCGTCATCACCCCGTCGTCCTCGTCGCCGATAGCCTGGATGCCGTCCCTGTCCTCATCCCCTCTCTGTCGGCTTCACCAAACCTCGTCACCCCCTTCCTCAGCAACATGGGTGAGCCGAGCTCTCCCCCTCTCGAACCCCTCCACTCGTTGTCGTGTTCGTCGTGCCGCGCTCGCCCCCCGCCCCGCACGCCGCGTCCACCGCGTCCGTGGTCACGCGACCTGCCCGCTCGCCACATGGCCGCTCGTGCCCCCACTGCGCCTTGGCCGCACTCACGCGCCGCCCAACCCTCACGGGTTCGCGGCCCCCGGTCACTCGCTCCCGTGCCCGCAGTTGCTGCCGTTGCCGCCGCCTGTCGCCACTATCCTCGCCGTTCGTTGCCGCCCGCTGCTGCCGACGGCCCCGCCCTTTATATACCCCCCCTCCCGCGCGCGCGCATGGCCTTCACTGCTCGGCCGCTCGCGAGCCGCGCCGCCCGCCGCAGCTCCTCGCGTTCCTCCGCCCCCTGCCGCGCGCCAGCCGTCGACCCCCACTCTCTCGCTGATGCTGCCTCCTCCCTGCATCGACGCTCTGCTTCCGCGCCCGCGGTCCTGGAGCTCCGCGCTCACCCACAACCTTCGCCCCCGCGCACGTCCTCCGCCGCCCGGGTTCGGCCTCCCCCGGGGCTCCGCCCCGTTAACCACCGCTCGGGCGCCTGCTAGCGCCCGTTAGGCCTTCTAGGCCTATGACATGTGGGCCCTACGCCCTAAAAAAGAGAAAAAGAAAAGAAATTACAATTAATTAATTAACTTAATTAATCTATTTAGTTAACTAATTAAACCTAATTAATATGCTAATAGATCTAGCTTCTATTAATTAGTTAGTAGACTATGACAACCGGGACCCACCTATCTGGTTGACTGGTCAATGGTTAACTTTGACCGCAACATCACGATGACGTCATGATGACGTAATAAATTAAATTTTGAATTAAATTAAATCTGATAAATCTAAAAATATTTAAAAAACTTTAAAAATTAATATAAAATAATTCGTAACTCGGATGAAAATACTTTGTACATGAAAGTTGCTCAGAATGACGAGACAAATCCGAATGCGTAGCCCGTTCGTCCGTCAGACGTCCCTAGCATAGCGAACGTGCAACATTTCATCTCCGGTCCATTTGTCCGAAAACGTGAAACACTGAGAATACTTTTCCGGATATTTCCCTCCTTCGCCGGTACCACCTACTGCCGCATTAGGGCCCACCTAGCAACGCTCGTTGTCATGTCATGCATCGTCATGCTTATGTTTGCATTATATTTATTGTTTCTCCCCCCTCTTCTCTCGTTAGACACCGAGACTGACGCTGCTGCTACCCAGTATGACTACAGTGTTGACGACCCCTCCTTGCCAGAGCAACCAGGCAAGCCCCCTCCCCATTGACCAACCAGATATCGCCCACTCTCTTCTCTCTTATTCTTGCATTAGGTTTGCTACTGTTGTTGATTCGATAGCTCCTATTCTGTTGCATAGCCAATCATTGTTGCTACAACTGTTGATAACTTTACCTGCTATCCTAATGCTTAATATAGGTTGCTAGTATTACATCAGTGGCCTTACACTCTTGTCCGTCTGCCATGCTATACTATTGGGTCGTGATCACTCGGGAGGTGATCACGGGTATATACTATACATATCACACATGATACATGTTGTGACTAAAGTCGGGCCGGTTCATTGAGTACCCGCAAGTGATTTGGATATGGGGCTGAAGGGGCAGGTGGTTCCATCTGTTGGGGAACGTTGCAGAAAATAAAAATTTTCCTACTCGTTTCACCAAGATCATCTAGGAGTTCATCTAGCAACGAGTGAATAGATGCATCTACATACCTTGTAGATCGCGAGCGGAAGCGTTCAAAGAACGGGGATGATGTAGTCGAACACGACGTGATTCGAATCACCGGAGATCCTAGCACCGAACGGACGGCACCTCCGCGTTCAACACACGTACGGAACAGCCACGTCTCCTCCTTCTTGATCCAGCAAGGGAGGGAGGAGAGGTTGAGGGAGATGGAACCAGCAGCAGCACGACGGCGTGGTGTTGATGGAGCTGCAGTACTCCGGCAGAGCTTCGCTAAGCAATAAGGAGGTGGAGGAGGTGTTGGGGAGGGAGAAGGAGGCAACCAAAGGCCAAGGACTCAAGGTATGAAGTCCCTCCTCTCCCCCACTATATATAGGGGTGCCAAGGGGGGGTGGCCGGCCCTAGGAGATCCAATCTCCTAGGGGGTGCGGCGGCCAAGGGGGTTTTCCCTCCCCCCCAAGGCACCTAGGAGGTGCCTTACCCTCCTAGGACTCTTTCCCCCTTAAACCCTAGGCGCACGGGCCTATGTGGGGCTGGTGCCCTTGGCCCAAGCAGGCCAAGGCGCACCCCCTACAGCCCATGTGGCCCCCGGGGATGGGTGGCCCCACCCGGTGGGCCCCCGGGACCCCTCCGGTGGTCCCGGTACAATACCGATAACCCCGAAACTTGTCCCGATGCCCGAAACAGGACTTCCCATATATAAATCTTTACCTCCGGACCATTCCGGAACTCCTCGTGACGTCCGGGATCTCATCCGGGACTCCGAACAACATTCGGGTTACTGCATATACATATCCCTACAACCCTAGCGTAACTGAACCTTAAGTGTGTAGACCCTACGGGTTCGGGAGACATGTAGACATGACCGAGATCGCTCTCTGGTCAATAACCAACAGCGGGATCTGGATACCCATGTTGGCTCCCACATGCTCCACGATGATCTCATCGGATGAACCACGATGTCGAGGATTTAATCAACCCCGTATGCAATTCCCTTTGTCAATCGATATGTTACTTGCCCGAGATTCGATCGTCGGTATCCCAATACCTCGTTCAATCTTGTTACCGGCAAGTCACTTTACTCGTACCGTAATGCATGATCCCGTGACCAGACACTTGGTCACTTTGAGCTCATTATGATGATGCATTACTGAGTGGGCCCAGTGATATCTCTCCGTCATACGGAGTGACAAATCCCAGTCTCGATCCATATAAAACAATAGATACTTTCGGAGATACCTGTAGTGCACCTTTATAGTCACCCAGTTACGTTGTGACGTTTGATACACCCAAAGCACTCCTACGGTATCCAGGAGTTATACGATCTCATGGTCGAAGGAAGAGATACTTTGACATTGCAAAAACTCTAGCAAACGAACTATACGATCTTGTGCTATGTTTAGGATTGGGTCTTGTCCATCACATCATTATCCTAATGATGTGATCCCGTTATCAATGACATCCAATGTCCATAGCCAGGAAACCATGACTATCTATTGATCAACGAGCTAGTCAACTAGAGGCTTACTAGGGACATGTTGGTGTCTGTTATTCACACACATGTATTACGATTTCCGGATAACACAATTATAGCATGAATAAAGACAATTATCATGAACAAAGAAATATAATAATAATGCTTTTATTATTGCCTCTAGGGCATATTTCCAACAGTCTCCCACTTGCACTAGAGTCAATAATCTAGTTACATTGTGATGAATCGAACACCCATGGAATTCTGGTGTTGATCATGTTTTGCTCTTGGGAGAGGTTTAGTCAACGGATCTGCTACATTCAGGTCCGTATGTACTTTACAAATCTCTATGTCTCCATCTTGAACATTTTCACGGATGGAGTTGAAGCGACGCTTGATGTGCCTTGTCTTCTTGTGAAACCTGGGCTCCTTGGCAAGTGCAATAGCTCCAGTGTTGTCACAGAAGAGCTTGATTGGCCCCGACGCATTGGGTATGACTCCTAGGTCGGTGATGAACTCCTTCACCCATATTGCTTCATGTGCTGCCTCCGAGGCTGCCATGTACTCCGCTTCACATGTAGATCCCGCCACGACGCTCTGCTTGCAACTACACCAGCTTACTGCCCCACCATTCAAAATATACACGTATCCGGTTTGTGACTTAGAGTCATCCAGATCTGTGTCGAAGCTAGCGTCGACGTAACCTTTTACGACGAGCTCTTCGTCACCTCCATAAACGAGAAACATTTCCTTAGTCCTTTTCAGGTACTTCAGGATATTCTTGACCGCTGTCCAGTGTTCCTTGCCGGGATTACTTTGGTACCTTCCTACCAAACTTACGGCAAGGTTTACATCAGGTCTGGTACACAGCATGGCATACATAATAGAACCTATGGCTGAGGCATAGG